AAATTGGAAAAACTCCACCCGCGCATTTAACCCTTCGGGGCCGGGCGCGCAAAAAGGAGATGTGACAGAGCCGGTGAAGGTTAAGGGTGTTTCATATGGTGCTTGTAAGTATTGCGATCGCCGGTATAAAAATGCTAGGGATTGTGGGGCAAAATCTATGTTAGATCACATGCTTAAGTGTCCTAATAGGCCAAGAAATGCACAAAATGAGGGCGATACCGGGGGTGGTTATTTTGATCAAGATGTTTCACGTAAAAAAACTTGCACATGCCATTATTTTACACGAGTATCCACTCTCTACAGTTGATCATGTGGGATTTAGGAACTTTATTGCGAGTCTTCAACCTATGTTTAAGATGGTTTCCAGAAATACAATCAAGAATGACATAATAAAAATCTTTGACAATTTGAAATTGCAAACTTCTATGTTGTTGGAAAAAGTCTCGAGTAGAATTGCAACAACAATCGATATGTGGACTTCCAATAGTAACAAAAAAGGGTTCATGGCTATTACTGGTCATTTCATTGATGATTCATGGAGGCTTCAAAGTCATATTTTGAGATTTGCTTATGTCCCTGCTCCACATGATAAAGATGTTTTGTGTGGTGCTTTGGTTAATTGTTTGTTTGATTGGAATCTTGAACAAAAACTATCGACTATCACAGTTGATAATTGTAGCACAAATAATGCTATGATTAAAACTTTACTGGATGAGAAACTTAATAAAAAAGATTTGTTGTTGAGTGGTCGAGTATTTCACGTGCGTTGTGCTGCACATATTTTAATCATAGCATTATTTGATTAAAACTTTATTGAATATTCTTCATCTCTAAAGCCAAGTCTAGCAGACTGGAGCAAATTAGGCATAAGATCTTTCACATATGGATAAAAACCAGATCCGAGACAACTAAGGAGCTCCGCCCATGCCTTCCACACTTAAGTACAAGAAAATTATGTACATTTTTCATTTTCTTCAAATGGTTTGGATCATACATACTCGTAGAAGGGTGACTTTCAAACTATGATCATCCTCTGATAGATACCATCGCACAGACAAGAGAAGGGCCATGACCTTACATACATGAAAGTTCTCAATAAAATTACGTCGATAGACCTTAAATACAACAGATTTGAGTGCTTGTAAAAGCAGTAACAGAGAAAAATCACCTCTGCAGCATCTTTCTTAAATATATCCTTCCCAACAACCATTGCAACTGTCCAAATGCACTCAACAACATTGTCTTGCAACCGATGGCCAAATCATAGCATCAGCTAGAAATTTCTTTAGGTAAGTGATGACCAGATCATAGCATTTAGCGAAGAGATCCTGTCCAAAAGCTTGTCAGACACCACCATAAAATCGAAATCACTAAGGAGAAACTAAGTCAGAGTTTCTATCAAGATGGACCTTTGATGATCTTGTTGGGGCATATACTATTAACCATGCATTTGGATATAGTATATTCTAATAATTATCATGGTTAAAAGTCTAAGTGGGAGATTGTTGGGATATATACTATTAACCATGAGTTTGGTTTAGATAAAGTATTTATTATGAAATAATTGTTTATTTAGTTTTAATAAAATTTTAAATAAATCATATAATAGTCTGTGTCCTTTGCTTATATAGTAGATGATTTAGTGTATAG